TCAAGTGTTTTTTGAATTATGTCCCTATTAAAATAATGAATAAATAATTATGTCCCTTCAAAAGGGACATAATTGATTTGCAAAATTTTATATGCTAAATAGTTTAGGAACCCATCCTTAGACTAGGCTATACTTTATTCTAATCAATTCTGATTAACAATATATCATATCAAATTTGAATATACAAATAGGGTTGTACTTCATTTTAACCAATTCTGATTATTCATACAGAAGTTAATCCTAGTTGATCAAGATCATATGAAGAAGATAAACAGGATATCTTGAATTAATTATTTAAAAAAGACTATCCTGCACCCATATAGTTCTATGACCTGCTAGAAGTTGGTGTAATCCAAATTGATGGCTCAATAGAAAAGAGTAAGAACTATTAAACTGAAATGAAGACCACCAGGAAAGTTTTCACTTGTAAAACAAGATTTTCCTTACCCTTGTTACTAGTAAAAGTTGACCAATTGAGAGGCCAATGAAGTGAGACCACTTTCAGAGTATAGTTTGTTTTGTTGAACATGGATTAATAGATAGATTGCTAGTGTTAAGTTATATGTAATATAAATGACATTTGATGTACTCTTAATATATCAACATATGTTAATAAAAGATAAGCATCTAATGCAATTTACCAAAAAAAAAAAAGATTTTTATATTGGAGAGCTATGTTTAACAATATTGGTTCAATTTGGAATCATGCTTAAAAATACATTTAAGAAGGATGTTTGTTTATAGAAAATTAATTTAAATGAATCTTTAATATATTTGTATTAAATATACAGTAAATCATTTAATAAAAACCAAATATATTTGCATTCTTTTATCCGAAAAAAAAAATTAATTACGAATTAATTAAAATATTGCTTAACAGTATTTGTTAATCTGACCTATTTTATCTTAATTTGGTCAATTCCGGATGACGTATTAATTTTGGTTAATCTCATTATATTAATCCTGGTCAATACTGAAGCGACTAGTTTCTTATCTTATAATATGTATAAATGTCGGATAATAAAATAATAATAGTAAAAAAATATTTTTATTAAAATATCTGCGAGCTTTTGATACTACTAACAAAACAATTTAAAATAAGCAATATGTAGTTTAACAGTATTACACCTGCGTTGTACAATATTATAAAACCAAATATATTATTTTGTTATAACATTCCACTCTGAAATTAAGTATATTATTATTTTAAAATACATAATAAGGATTCAAGTGAGTAATATTAAAACAATTCAGTATATGAGTTGGAAAAAGAACTGTTCCTTAAATCTTTTATAAATCTCGCATCTACATTTTAACATGTTTTCATGCAATGCGCAACAAACTCTGATTATTTCCAAATACAGTTGGTGACACTTCACTTTACAGAATTGTATAAATTGAATGCCTAAATATATCATAACAACAGCAGTCAAACCAAATTATCGAGTGTACAAATAAATTACATGTCCAAGAATGACAATGACTTCATTCTGTGTGTAAACGCAAATAAAAAAATATAAATGCTCAAGACTTTAAATAGAAAACGATAGATAGCAAGAAAACTTCTATAATGGTTTTACTTTTATAAAAATTGTGAACATGAGCAACGTCGAGACAGATTAATGCAGGAACGTAAACTAGTGAACGAACAGTATAAATGTAGCTCGAGTCCTTACGAACGAAGGATTTTACATTGCTTTTTCCGCGATAAACGAAACTAAAAATGAAATTTTACGTATTAAAATTCATTGTATTAATTACATTTACCGTATTGCCTTTGGCAGCATATCACGTGAAAAAATTCGAAAAAGTAGTCGCCTTTGGAAATGATTTTTCCGGTAACATATTTTATGCGAAAAAGTTTCAATTGCATGAAATTCATCATACAATATTAATTTTCACCATACTCAAATGAATAGATACCGGAAACGCGTTTAAATTAACCAAGGAAAAGTACCCACCATCACCACCTTACTTTAAAGGAAGATTCAGTAATGGACTAGTCTGGGTGGATTATTTTGCATCGCTACTTAATGCCAAGCTATTTAGCTATGCTTATGGTGGTGCTTCATGCGAGTGAGTTTTTATAATTGTTCTAAACTTTTTTATTATTCACCATAGTTAGTCGGAAATTTAAAACTCCCATTAATTACATTTTTATGATAGCTCCGTGTTAATCAAATCTTCTGTGGGACCAGATGATGTCGTCGTTCCTGGTATTGCTCAGCAAGTGGATTCTTTTCTTTTAGGTGATTATAAAAAGTTTAGCTGTGAAACGACATTGGTCGTGGTAAGTTATGTTTCCTTCCTTCAATATGATATCACGAACATCAGTTTAAGTTATGTATTCTACTATTAATATTATATATTTGAAATATCTGTGATTCAGTTTGGAACTATTATCCTAGATTATGATCGTCCCGCGGGTTCTGGTTCAGTGGAAAAAGTTCGCGAATCAATTGTAAATACCGATCCTGCAAAGATTGTGGCAAGCGTTGGCGAGAGAATGGAAAAACTGTATAAGAAGGGCTTCAAAAACTTCTTACTTTTTATTTCACTCCCGGTCGGTGCTTTTCTTACACCAACTGAACAATCCTATCCTCCAGATCTTATCAAAACTCTCTCGGAAAAACAAGTACTTCATAATCAATATACTCTTGAGGCAATGAACAGCTTCAAGAAAAAACATCCGGATGCTATACTCTATTTGATAAAATTAGACGAAATTATTTCTGCAGTCTTTAGCCCTGATTCGCTTAAAGAATTAGGAATTTCAGTTTTGAATGTAGGATGTATACCTGACAATGGTTATGCTGGAAAAAAATCCGTGGTATGTAAAGAACCCGAGAAGTATGCGTTCTATGATAACTATACGGCCGTGAACACAAACCTTCATAAGAAGGTAGCTGAACACGTGGTGCCTCTCGTAAAGTAAAACCGATATTTCAAATGATACATAACGATATATTGTATTACTATTAAATAATTGTTATAGATAATGGAAGTTTGAAACTTGCAAAATAATATTAATAAACCTTTTTAAATTTTTTATTAATATTATACCCTCCAAAAAGCAATTTTCATATTCTAAAGTCTAAAAATATCAAGTATATTATTGATATTTTATTTTTAAACAATAATGTACAACCAATTAAAGTAATTATTTTTTAAATATACATGTAATACTAAAAAAAAAATCAAATCAAATACGAAATATTATAAAAAGTATGCATTACCTATATATTTTTTATTTATTATATACAGTATACTTACTAAACTGTTTTCGACCTATTTATTAACTTGTTTGAAAAGCATGATACGATATTTCTTATATTAATTTAAAATACTAGCTAAAAAAAATATTAAATAAACAAATATTTGTTAATAAATTTTAAAAAGATAAATTATTTTAAAAAAATTCATATAATTAAAATTTTGATAATAATTACTATGTCAAATTTAATTCAATAAAAATTTGAATTTATTAAACAATACAATTATTCAAATATTTAACAAATATTAATGTTTTTATAATTTAATAATATATTAATTATAACAATCTTTAAAAAAATAATTTAATTATATAATAAATAGCAAAATTTAACATCAAATAATAAATTTATTTATTTTATTCTTGTTATTGAAACTTTATACAAAGTAATTTTAATTACTTTTTATATATATTTTAATCTTATTTTTAACAATTACAATATTATTATTTTTAATTATAAATATATATTTATAATTGTTTAATATTATCTAATTATTATACTAGTTTAAAACAAATTTTTAATATAAATTTAAATAATTATTTTATATAAACTAATATTTAACTTATTATAAATACATATATGAAATAATATTTTTTTTCTAAAGTTTTTTTTTTCTTAAAATATTATTTTGTATTTCATTATTTCTCTAGTTAATTAATTTTTTTTAAAAAAAATCATATTAAAAAAATAACAACTTTTCTTAAAATATAATCTTTAAAATTTTTTTTCTTTTTTATAATTTTTTAAAAAAAGAACAGATATAGCTTATTCTTTTCAAATTATATAATTTTTATTATTTAAATTTTTAAAAAATTATACTTGACAATATTTAAAATAAAATAATAACTAATATTAATTGTTTAAAGGATATTTTAATATATAGCCATAGTAATTCAGATGTATGTATCTTCTAATTATATAATATATAAGTATTATGACAAAAATCTTTAGTATAATAATAATCAATAGTTATGATAATATAATAAGTATAAGAAACTATACAATTATGTATTTACTGTATAAGCTAATTTAAACAATAGAAGATAAAAAGTATATCAAGGAATATATAAATAAAAAATATTGTTATATGTGTTAGTAATAATTTTTCAAACTTTAAATGATTTACATTTATCTAGTATAATTAATATTATATTAAATTAATCATAAGGTTTTTAATAATATTATTTTGATATTAAGCTGATATTAAATTTATTATAAGTTAATATTAAGTTAATATTATTTCAATACTCAGTTTGAAACCTTAAATACTATATTAATAATTAAAATATTTAATAAAATAATATATAGTAATTAGAAAATCTAATTATTTTATAAGTAAACCAATAATAATAATAAAGCTTTTTTGTTTATTCCTAACAATATAGATTTATTATATAAAGTTAAATGATAATATTTATAAAAAATTATAATATTATTTTATATTTAAGTATTTCTTTTAAATATTTTTTTTAATAAATTATAATTTTGTTTTATTTTATATTTGAACAAAATTTTGCTCAAATATTTAAATGATACAGTTTAAATATAAGGTATCTTATAAAATCCAATTATTATTTTTTTATATTTAAGTTTTAGTAATAATTTAAAATATCAAAATTAGATATATTGAATAAAAAATTAATTTTGCTTAATATCTAATAGAAAAAATAACTATTTAAGTATTTAATTAAGCTATTCAATTAAAACTTAAAGCAAAATGATAATTATTTTATTTATTATATATCAAGTTATATTTGAAAACAAGTATATTAATTTTAATTATATCTTGAAAGTCAATCTATATAAATTAATTATATTATTTTTATGTGATTAAGTAATTAGTTAATTATAAATAGTTAAATATTACTTAAGATTTAATATACATTTTAAAATTCTTTTTATTATATTTTTATATAATGTCAAAAAGCATAAAAAATAAGTTATATATAATAAGTCTTACATTTAACTTTTTTGGCAAAAAAAAACATATATTATATTATCAAAATTATAATTATATATTTTGCAAATTTAAAATTATAATAAATAAAATAAAGTATAAAGGTTACTTATTTCTTTAAAATAAATAAATAAATAAAATTATTGCAAATTAAAAAATAATAAATTATTTAATTATTAACAATAATTTGTAAGTTTTTTATAAAAATATTAATTAAAATACTAAATTATCTATATAAAATTTTCAAAAATTCAAAAACTATTAATTATAAAATTTATATTATTTTAAAAGGTTTTTTATTTTAAATTTTTATAAGATTGAATTTGAATTTGATTATTTTAAGAATTTTTTTTTATATAATTTTTTAATTTGTTAAATATTCTTTTGTTGGTTTTAATAAATCAAATAAAACTTTTTTAAATTTATAATCTAAAATTTTTATAATATTATATTTATAGAAATAATTAATAATTTTTTAATAAATAAAATATCAAACAAAATATAAAATTAACTATAGTATCATTAAACTTGTAAATAAAAAAATATATTATTAATTTTTTAATTAAAATTTTTAATTTTATAATTTTATCTATCTTTATAAAAACTTTTATTTTAAAAAATTATTTAAAGTTATAATATAAATAATATTATATTTAATATTAATAAAAAAATATTTATACAAATAAATATAAGAAAATCTATTTATAAAGTTAAAGACAAAATTATTTTGTTAAAAAAAAACATATGAAATATATATATATATATATTTTTTAAGGATTTAACAAGATTTTTAAAAAATAGTTATTTGATTTTAAAACTTTTTTGTTTTTTTTTATCAAACTTTTATTTAATATATTTTATATTGAAAAATTTATAAATGAAATATATTTAGTTGATATTTAAACAAATTTTGCTCAAGATATAATTGTATATACATGTATAATATTTTTTATATTTGAAAATTAAAAAAAACAAATAAATTATATTATAAACAATATTCATCAACCTTTTTATTTTAATAAAAAGTACAAATCAATTTATTATATTTGACAAATTATAAAATTCACATGTATATATTTTTCATAATTAAAAATAATTAAATCAAAACAAGAATAAAATATTTGTTATTTTTTTTTATAATTTTATTTTATTTTTGAGAAATATTATTACTTCTCTTATATATAAACTACATATATACAATTTATTAGGCAATAATATTTATTTTAAAAAATAAATTAATATATGTATTTATTATTTAATTTTTATTAACTGTTCAAGAAATTTTTAATAAAATAATTTTTATTTATTTATTCAATTTTTGTTAAATTTTTACATCTATCAATACCAATGTATTATAATTGAGATTAAATTTTAAAAGATTAAATGATCCGAGTTTTTTAAATCACTAAATAAGGTTTCTCAGTTTTTACATAATAAGTTATTATTATTTGGTTTCTATATATTTAATAAAGTAGAATAGTATGGTTTAAAGGAAGGCTTCGTTTCAAATATATACAGGATGTATACGACCAAGCCTGGTAGAACACTTGAGAAAAATTAAATGTACATCCGAATATGTTCTCGGGGTGCATTTAGGAAGGGTTCACGGCAAATGGTTTTCAAATAGATTAGATTATTTAATATAATTTTATTTATACTGTGCAACTTAATCATCACACTATCATTCAACATTGTATTGAATCATCATCTTATAGTAAATAATGCCAAAATTCGAATTCATAAGCTTTCTCCTGACAAGTGTAACGGTGGTCGCAGTTGTTGTCCAAGTATCTGAGATTTTGAGGTTGAACCATTTGTCCGGGTTGGACAGTAGAATATAATTTTCGATTCCGAAATACGTGAGTGCGTAAATGAATTTTTAATTACCAAAATTTCCCAATTAGGCATATGCGCAAACCTTAATCCGTGTTATCTTTGTTCTATAGCATATTCACAGTTTAATTGACTACACATTATGGCTTCCATAGTTGGTGCTATTGTCACACAATCATGATATCATCAAGATTCATGCAGTAATGTATTTGATTTTCGCTGCAAGGAAACACAAAAGCCACCAACCTTTTTTGATTTCCCAATTTCTTCCTGACGGATCTTACGAACATCGGACATCCATCTTCCAACTGCATACTAATACGGGATGCATACGTGTATTTCACGATAGGATATTTGCGTGAGGTAGAGATTCCATGATAAGTTATGGTGTGTTGCTACACAGGAATTGTTGAATTAATGTTGTGTGTTGCATGACGAGTGCGTGCGTATCTAAAAATATACCTATTAATAATTATGCATACGTAATGTAAATGGTCGGCGCACTTTTGTATGGCACGAGCACCAAAAACGTTTATTGGATTTTTATTGGATTTTATTTTTTGAGGTAATAAAAAAAATGCGTGGTATGATATTTTCAGAGTGTTCCACCCATGATTCAAGTTTCAATCACAACAGCCAGCTACAGTACAGTAATTATAATTATAGTTTGTTGAATTAATTTATCATTATAAATTTTAGAAAATGTTCACTTGTCCCAAATCATTGTTTTTTTTCCAGTTCCATAGTGTGTAAATCATATGTGTAAACTCTTGCGAAAGAGTCATTCTTCTATATAGTTACGTCACAATTATATTATTATTATTTCTTTGAATTATTTTCCCTTGTGGCGAAAAAATAATAAATTGGAAAGAAAGAGTTTTTTTGCGAGATGTGCTAAGATTTTGGGCGTTCGTACATGTTTTGTGGACACTTTTTTCTTTAAATAATGTACAATATGATTCTTGTGAACGCAATTCCAGGTTCCAAAAGCATCGCGTCTCGTTGTCATTATTTCAATTATGAGGAAGAAATCGCTTATGTTACGATGTACTCGTTATATAAATTTGCACCTTTTCCCTCCAAGAAATCATCATATCCCCTTTTAAGTATACCCATCCAGGACATGCTGTTGATACGCCTATTCCAATTATTGTGCCAGTGATATGTGAATGCACCATCGAAAAATTTCTCTTTCTTTCTCCAACGCTTTATGTTCTCCGCATTCGTGTTTTTCGTCACCTTTTTGTTTACACCCGGAAATTCATTTCTGAGCAACTTCCGGCTGAACACATCCTTGAACTGGGATAAGTTTGGTACCATTATTTGTTTCTTAAGTGATAGATCACTCTTTAACCACAACGGATCAAACATTGTCACCGGCATCATATAAAGTTTTTTGTTGACATCCGATCTGGTTATGTTCTTCTTTCTTACAAGATATTTCTTTATTCTCATCGGATGAAAATTCATCTTATGTTTCATGGCAGCTGAGATGATGGTTCGACCGATCGTACTATTTTTCCAAAGCCTTAGTACGGCAGTGTTATAGTGAAACCATTCGCTCCATCGATATGACCATTCATAATCCAGATAATACAATGGTCTCATGTCTCTCAACAATAATACATCCGCGTCCACATATAATCCACCATATCTCTGGAGTAACACAAATCTAACCATATCGCTATATCCGACAGTTTGAATTTTTTTAAGCTGCTTTCTCATAATCCTTTTCCATCCCTTGTAAATAGGATCGTGGGAGAGTTGTTCGGTACAGTTCCATATGCGAAATTGAATATTCTTAGGTGAGAATTTAAGAAGTGGTCTGATGTGGGAATTGTTGGTGAGATCTTCGTCGTTGGAGTCCATCCACACGTTCAACACCGAAGAATCAAGAGGTTGAGTGTACAAAAAAGATCTGATCATTAATGAAATCTTGTCATTCAACTTTCCCTTCCAATAGACGTGAAACTGCATCGGTTTTTCATTATACGTAAGAGTCGAATTCTCTGGTTTAAACAGATAACTTGACTTGTTCATACTCAAGAAGTCTAGGCAACTTTGAATTCGGTATTTTTTGAATGCTTCTTTTTGGTAGTCATTTGGTTCGCAATATTCGTTCACACTGGAGATATTTAGTAGGTATCCATCAGACGGACGCGATGATCCCTTGAACGTCGAATTTTCGTGTTCAGCGTGAATATTCGTTGTGGGAGATGATGTTGAACTTTTTGATATTTCGTGTTCGGTGTGAATAATTGTTGTGGGAGGTGATGCTGAAATTTGGGTATTTTGGTGTTCATCGTAAATATGTGTTGCGGGAGGTGATGTAAAATTGTCCAGATTTAACTCAACATCGATGCCCGCATCATTCGCAGTTTTATGGCCTACGCTTATCGATATGTAATAATAATCTATGGTTGTATATGTATAAGTAATGTACAATGTTTGAAATATTAGTATTAGAGCGATAGTTGCGTAGCAACCCGGGTTTTCTTTGTATGTCATCATTTATTAAACAAAAAAACGAAAGTCGAGTTTGACACGGAAGTCCGTTGGTCTGTGGATTTTCCTGAGGGATAATGCATCCTTATATACTGTAAATAGATTATATAGATTATAGATTATATAAATGTATAAATAAATAAATATATATATATATACTGTATATACATATTTACATAATTTTTTTTTTTTGTATTCTTTGAATGGTAATACTCGACACTAGTACTACTACGCACCGGAATACAGGCAACATATGTCAATGCGGCTTGGCTAAAACGTTTGCCAAGTGGAACATCGAATTTGAACTTCCGACATGGGATTCGTTTGACATCGGTGGCACCCGGAACTTGTTCCTCGATCATTGATAAAAATTATTCGTTGCATATGCACATGCGTGCGATTGACTTGATGATGGTTGTACGGTTGCTTTCTTTGACAGAAAAGTAGATTTCTTTTCGAGGCGATAAAGTTGTTATAACCGTGTATGGAAACGACGACAGCGAGGAAGTATCTTGATTTTTTCATGCAATGTGCATTCCCGTGATCTCGTCCACAATAACCGGTTATAAAGTATCAATGATTTATGGTAATAAAGAAACATAAAATGTTTGACAGAAATAATCCTATTCTGTGTCAAAAAATGTATGTCATAAATTATAAAGCATAACGAACGTTTCATACAAAATAATATTTGACCAATGTAATAAAGGAGTATATGTGAATATACTGTATATGTGAATATACTGTATATGTGCACCATGTGCTCGCATGATAAATCCGGACAAGTAATCCGCACAAATACTCAAATCCTGGAAGGCAAAATAACAATCAGTCTCGGTTAGTATAGTGGTTAGTATCCCCGCCTGTCACGCGGGAGACCGGGGTTCAATTCCCCGACCGAGAGCATTTCTATTTTTTTTTTTATTTATTTATTTATTTATTTTTAATTTTTCGGGAATAATAGTGATTTGATTGCACATAATTCCATAATTAGTAATGCGCCATAGACTATATACCTTCTTATTACATCATCTTAAATTATTTATTTTTTAAAAAAAAAAAAATAAAAACAAACCAAAAAAAAAAAAAAGCAACCTTTTCTATTTTTAAATATTTTGAGTATAAATTGCATATATAATAATATATAATAATATTTGATTAATTTATTGATTTTAATAATAATAATAATGAATAATGGTTTCACACAATTTATAATCTTTTTTTTGAACAAAATCCCATTGTTTATACCTATTTGCCTATTTGAACCAAAATATTTAAAATATAATCGTCCTTTGGATTACTATTTTTATGATAATATTTTTGTAAAAGAAAAATACGCATCAGAAATGTAAAGATCGAGACGATCGCAAAAATACCTTAGCAACTTTTTTGTTAAATAAAATTTATTATCGATATTTATCATAAAAGAATATCTAATTTATAATATATATTGTGCAATTATATCACCACAGGAATTAATTCCGGATCGGATCGGTTCTGAACTAATAATAAACCTTGAAATATTGGTCCAAATCAAGTTCTAATGGATCGCTAAGATCATGTCATTCCCGAAATGTTAGTTTTATATGAGAAAAAAAAATTTTTTTACAAAAAAAAAAACAAAAGGTGGCGCAATTTGGAGAAAAGAAACCCTTTTGGAAATTTGACTTGTGCCGAACCCGTGTAGAACCGGGCTTTACCAAGAGCTTTTCAAAAATTGAATATCAATTACGTATATGTCCATATGCGCACTATCCACATTAATAAAAAACAAAAATCTATTTAAAGGTACATCAAGAAAATTTTATAGCATAAAGATAGATTTATAAATAAAATAATAGTATGATTGATTATTCAAATGTTATCAACGAAAACTTCTTTACATAATCATTTCCTTGGAAACCACTGTCATCTCGAGTTCTTGTTTCCAAAACAACAAACCAATTCTCCAAACTTGGTCACAATCAATTATCCACAATTTGTCGGACTTCACCAATTCACTTATTATCTCCTTGTAATCATGACATGCCTTTCCCTCTTCTTCTTTCTCGATCGCCTTGTCTAACCTGATTGTGTCATCTAAATTCAGCCTCTTTGTATGATACAATCCCACCAATTCTTTTGACTCGGAAGGTTTTAGATTCAGTATCCCAGCCATCGAATTTTGAAATTGTGAAAACGAGAGATCACGCGGGATCTTAACAGGAATTGGCAAGTTTGAATCCTCGGATAGTGGGTTTAAACGTAAAAAATGGATAGAATGCGAAACGTGGATGTAAAATGTTATGCCTCTCACTGATCTGGATATTCTTTCGTCGGGGGTCGGACTTGGGTGCTTCAGATGTCGCATGGCATAAGAGATACTGTGGTAACGTGAACGCATAACATTGCGATTGGTTTCGTGACCGAGATAGGTCGGTGCGGTGGCAAAAGACGCTAGAGTATCAACTGATGAGACCGACAATATAGATTTGTGATCATCTTCGCAATCTTCTATGGCGGTTAATGTGGATGTTGGTGTTGGAGAATTACGAAATATGGAACTTGTCGTCGAAAGTGAAATAACACCGTCGTTTGATGAACTTTGATCCGATCCACGCCTCTTTGACTTAATGACTACAAAGAATTTACTACCATCTGTCGCGGATGAGGCTGAAGGCGAATCTTGAGGATGAGAGAGTTTGTTCCATACCTTTTTCCAAAAATTTTTTTTCGTGAATTTGGAGTTTCGTAAAGAACTGGTGGAATAACGTGTATTGTTGTTTTTTCTGATAGGTTTCGAAGTGGGCCAGAACTGCGAACCTTCTAATGATATTTTTTGTTCATTAATAATGTCACGGGATGGTGATGAATGGGAATGTGCGAGAGAAGAAAATAATGGAATTTCAGGCACGCCGGAAGGAGTATCTAGAGAGATTTGGGGAATCGAACTATCGTCGGGATAGAATTTTTTGTCAAATATAGAAAATTCTTCCATCTCCGTGATAGCTTCTGTCATCTTTCCTCTCAAAGCTAAGAAAGGAAATTTGAAAGAGGAAAGGAACTCGTTACGTGTTTTCAATAAACAATTCTGTCTAATCCAAAAACGTTTAAATGCAAACCTTAGGATTCCAACTTTGCCTTTCATATATTTCTTAACCTTAATATATTAATTCCCATGCCTTTTGTTCAAATCCAACCTTTGTTCGAGTCAATATGCAAATACAGGATGCCATGATCTTTTAAGTGCTTTCGTTTATTTTTTTTTTTGAAAACTTTTCTGAATGACCAACACATTGCCCGTGAAGCAGGGTAAGTTATACATAATGACGTTCAATGCGGACTCTTGATTCTTCAATAAATTTGACTTCCCATTGTTTGCAAAGTTGGGACCTCGATGAATTATTATGATAAAACCTGCGATCTTTGTATGCATGGGATAAATTTATAAAAAAATAAATGTTACTAAAAATAATTCGATTCTTAAAAAAATTCCTTTTCGTTCTTTCTTTCTTCTTGGTCTTTTTTAGATTGATTGCTTAAGGTTTCTATAAACCGTCTATAATAAAATCGTGGCCATCGATTCGATTAACTCAATAATGACGCATAGGTTCGAATTAACCCTCCCTTGATAATTTGAGCTTATAACACGAGGAGCAGTAAGAAAAAATGTATAAAAAGAGAGACTGTGCCTTTCATAGAAATCATACCACCAATCATTTCAAATTTTCCGTTTAAGAATTTAATATGTCAACTGCCGCCTGTTAGGCGTTTAATAATGATAAGTTTGGATAGGGGCGCGAGACAAAAACATTATTTATCAATTAAAGATATTTCTTGCATGATATATTCACGTGATGTGATTGGATATTGAGGAAACAATCAATGATACGATCATATTTATGCCTACAAATGAACCTGACCAGAACTGACGTCTCCGTGCTGTGGGAACTCTACGCAGAAATTGGAATGTTCTGAAATTTTTGAAAATGATGGTTACATCCAAGGAGTATGCGTGGTAATCTAAAGAATGGTGAAAAGAATAATCGCAATATTAAGAGTTCCCTTGTATGCAAATAAGGATGATCAATACAATAGAAACAAGTCTGTATGATATTACAGTAATAGATTCTATTTTGAATCTCTTGCTTTATTATTTATTTCAAATACTTGTATATGGGCAGTTGGTTTTATTTTTGTTTCTTAATCATACCCAATTATTTATTCACAAAATAAAACAGTCTACAAGTTAAAATTGCATATTCGGAAAATAAAAAATTATAGAAATTAAGGTTTTCTTTATGACACTGGATGTACTGCATTCTGCATAATTATTGACACTTGTGGTTTATTTATTTACTGTACTATAACATATCAAATAAAATAATATCACTGCTGTTATCATAACAAATAAAAATCAAAATACCATTCATTAATATAATAGCATTCAGATTTTATTATATTAACAACTTAATAAATATATAATATGCTGATATATCATTTATTATTAAATACACTCTTTACTAATATAAACATTAATACATATTTGCAATAGAATATTTTTTATATATCCTACTTAATTCAATATAAGATGATAATTATCAAATATTTAATTATGATTATTAGCTTACAAATAATACAAGCAATATATTGACAAAATTCAATATAAAAATATTTTTGATTTTTTTATACAATTAGATTTTTTATTAATTCTTATTATTATTATTATTATGATTTTGATTTTGATCCAATTTAATAATAAAGTTTTTTAATTTATTGATTTTGTTTTCCAATATTATCTTTATTAAATTTATTAATTAAATAATTAAAAATATTCTTAAGTAATAAAAAAAATATCAATTAATAAAATATTATTTTATTTTTGTATAATCAATTTTATATACGTATTTATTTTTAATTGATTTTATAAAAATTTCAATTATAAATTTTTTGAAATATTTTAATATTATTTTTAAAAAAATATATGTTATTATTATTATTATTATTATTATTATTTACAAGATAAAATACAACTTGCTGCTTGATTTTTATTAATAAGTACCTTATATTAATATACTTCGCAATTTAAAAACTTATACAAGTCAGTATATTATATACTTTATATAAATTATCATTTATATTATATTTTATATTCAATTATCCAAAAACCTATTATCTTAAATGATTTTCTACATGATTACTAGAGTGAGATCTATAAGATATAGAAATTCTATCACTAGTTTAAACTATCTAATCTATATAATTCAATTTTGCCTAAAAAAATCATAATTAAAAAGATTAATCCAAGTACTTCTTTATCTTATCTCTTAGACCTTAGATTATATCTTCTTGATTTAAGACTTCTTTTGAAGAGATATAATCCTTTTTATTACTTGCAATATATTGTTTTTCAAACTTATTAGGCCCTATATCAGATTGAAATAGCTTAGGCTAGAGCTCTAATTATCATTAAAAATAAAGTATCAATCATATTTAATTAGAATGAAGTACAGCCTAGTCTATATATTCAAATACAAGGGATTAGAAAAGTTAGACATATATCTTTTAGCTCATTATACTATTAAACCACTATAGGCATACTTCTGGTAATTATTATACTACTACTGTATATGATATAGTTGTATTGTAATGTAAATAATAGAATAACTGAAATATATTTCAAATATTTATTATATTGTTTTGATAAGGTATTGTATATTGTAATTACTGAAACCCATATAGAATACTGATTATATGCTCTTTCAATCTAATAAGTTATTATGTTATTTTGATATATGAAAGTAATATAGAGTATAATTGATATTTTATGTATTATAAATTGTTTGATAGGAATAAGCTAATTGTGATTTTTGTATTGAAATTTGTAAATGAAAATTAATAATTAATCAGAAGATTATATAAAATCTTGCATTAATTATTATTAGCAGAAAACAAAAAACTCCAAAAAATAAAATATTGCTTCTTAAGAATAGAATTGTTTTGAATTAAGAATAAAAGATACAATTGTTTTGTAACAGTTATATATAAAGATAGTCTTTATATAGAAAATTTTTTTTATTTATCTTCTTTGTTTTAAGTTATTGCTCAGTACTATTACCAGTTATTAGATCTTTTAGTATAAGCTATTATTGAAACTCTAGGGTAAATATGAGTCCCTAAATTAAAGACAAGGATATAATTCAAATATCTTTGCTTATTAAAAAAGTTTTTTTTTAAATATAAAATAAAAAAAAACTACTTACAAAGGTTTTTTACAATTTAGGCCATTTGATTCAAGTGTTTTTGAATTAAATCCTTATTAAAATAATGAATAAATAATTATGTCCCTTCAAAAGAAATATAATTGATTTGTGAAATTTTATATACTAAATAATTTAAAAATTTATTTTTACTCCAAGAGCCAATCTTATTCTTAAAACTCCTACTGCTCTAAATCAGTCCTTTGGTTTATGTTTCTTTTTAAAAAATATATTTTACTAAACAAAGTTTCTTGAAAGAAAGAAGTTTCCTAAAAAGACAATATTTTATGAATAAAGATGTTGTGAAAAAAGTTTTTTTTAATATAAAATTAAGTTATATAACTATATACTATATATTGATTTGTTTTTTTTTTTTAATTCCGCAATCAGGTTGGTATCGTTTATTTATTTAATCATAAAGAACCATTACAAGTTGAGAATCCATGTAAAGTATAAA